GCGTTACCGAGGGTATTCGGGGGCCAGTGAGTGCCGGTTTCGCTCTGTCGTGTGAGGGAAGGAAAGCCCGACATGAGGGGTTTGTAAAGTCAGGGGTAGGGGCGGCCAACCTGTAGTCAACCTGTGGCCCCGGGAGGTGGTACATGGAGTGCCCCCCCAGGCTGGGGGAGGCCGAGGGTGTGCGCTCTTTAGTTACAGGTCTCGTTTGTTTGGTCTGTAGACTGACGGGCACAGTGGAGAAACCACCCCGAAAACGGAAAAGCAGGTAAGGCCGATGCCTTCCTCTCTAGCTTCGTGTTTTTCTGTTTGCTTGGCTGCCCCTGTGCTGCATAATTACATGGTCGGTAGATGAAGTTTCTTATATGGCTTTTCTAGTGAGTGCAACTGCACGAAGATATTCCTATTGAGAACTTCAAATCGCCCCCCTCCCCCCAGGTATATGGTGCAGGAAACAGAAAATTAAGAAGCCTAGTTTTTTCGGCTTTAGTCATGATTGCAACTAATGTGGCATCTCTCTAACAGAGATGTTCATTGAACAGCTGTGTGCCAAGTGTTGTGTATAAATTTTCTGTGTATTATTTCTTTGAGGCACACTTTTGCAGAAGAGGAACTGAACCATAGAGTGGCCAAATACTTTGCCAAGATCACACATCTAATAAATGATAGAACTAGGATTTGATTCCAGGCTGACAGCAGAGCTTATGCTCTTAACCATTATACTGTAATGCTTCTAATAAATATATAGTTGAAAGCATTTTTCTGGCTTTTAAAAAATAAAGCCTAATAAACTTAAATGGTTAATAGGAAAATAGTAATTAAGGACTTACATAGGCCACAGATAACTGAATTATTCCTTGAGCCATGAAAAAGAGTGTTCATCCCACAAATATGTTATGTACTACATCACAATTTTATTTAGTTATTTAAAGATTTCCTTTTTTTTTAACCTATCTTGGTATTGGAATTGAGGAAGTAAGAATATGGCCAGTGGCACCATTTTCATAATTAATACTTTGGAAGCTGTCTATTAATGTGCAGATATCCTCAATATTAAGGAGATGGAAATGCCAATGGTGGGAGTAAACAGTAGCCAAATAATTTTGTTACTTTTTAGGCCTAAATGTCCACTGTCATAGTCACATAGAGCTACTGCCCACCCACAGGCTGGCTAGCATACCTAAAGAACTGGATTTTTTGTAGGTGGGTATGTATTTGTGTATGCAGGTATATGTGTGTATGTTCCTATAAATGCACATGTATGTGTGTCCATATGGAGCCCAAAGGTATGCTTTTATTGTTCGCACACCTTGTTTCTGGAATCAGGTTGACTCACTGGGACCTGGGGCTCACCATTTGGCTAAGCTGGCTACTTAGCCAGCAGGTCCCTGGATCTGTCTGCCTATTTTTACCCCAGTACTGTGATTTCTTTTTCTTAATTTTGTTTTTGTGTTTTTGATTTTCAAGACATGGTTTCTCTGTAGCTCTGACTGTTCTAGAACTCACCCTGTAGACCAGACTGGCTTTGAATTCAGGAGCCAATTGCCTCTGCCTCCCAAGTGCTGGGATTAAAGGTACCACCAGCCAGTACTGTGAAGGTTTAATGTGATTTAAATTTTTTACATTTGTTTATTTAATCATTTTGTATGTATGTATGTATGAGTGTGGAAATTGCAAGTGGAAATTAAGAATAATTTACAATACTTCTCCTTGTGTACCACGTGGGTCCCTTTGCAGAAACTCAAGTTATTTACTTGGTTGAAGGCATCTTTACCTGCTGAGCATCTTGCTGGCTCCTTATTTTAAATTTACAAGTTTTTCACTCACTGGAAAACATTTAAGTATGTCTTAAGAATTCTTGGGTTTGTAAATCTATTCTTTCATCTGTAAATTTTATGAAGTCTAAATATTTACCAAACCTACCAATTAAAATTTAGTGTTGAATTGAGACAAGTATAAAATTAGATTTAAATTAGCCCAAAAAATATGAATATGAGATTTCTGACTCTTAAATTTTAATCATTACATGGTAGAATAAGGTGTACTGGGATAAATAAATTTAAAAATTTGCATTTATTTAGTGTGTGTGTGTGTGTGTGTGCGC